AAATCTGATTATCTACTATTTACATAATAATTCATATTGTTGTTGTCTTAATCGATAGTAGACTAGCTCTAAAAACAATTTTGATTAAAAATAAAAACGTAAACAATAAGTTTTATTAATTACTTAAATATTCAGAACACGGAAACCATCTAATTTTGTTGGAAAATTGAAATAGGTACCTATTTTGGTAACTAACCCTTAAGGGTATTAAGGGACGGGCTTAAACCCTAAATTGAAGCTGAAACTATAGGCTATCAGTTTTTATTATAATTGTTATGATCTCAAACGACACTCTTGTCACGGCTTGGATAAATTCAAAACAATTTCAAAATTACATAGCATTTTAATCGAACTGAGAACCAGGACATAAGCTAGATCCCAATTGTCAGTGAAGTTGAATTTAGTAAGGAGTAAATAATTACTAGTCCCGGGTCAAAAACACTATTGCCGAGAAGGAGGTTTCGTTTTTGATTCCTGCCACAATCTAAGTTTTATTACGTGGGAAAAGGGGAAGCGTGAAGTCTATAACATAACAAACTAGTCACAGACTAGTTGATGATAATAGACTCTCTATGTAAGCCTTATTATATTTTAAAGAACAGTGAGTAAAGTTCCCTAAGATCGAAAAATGAGGTCATCGTGGCTGGTGGACTGTCAACTCAAGAGTTCTTCGTTGGGATTTTCTATACATGTTAGTTCGCATGTGAAGTCCACATGTGCGATGTAAAATTTGTGACGTCATCCGTTCATTGTGTCGTTGATCGACAATGTGTGTAACTATCATTGGTCGATATGTCGCCATAATATAGTTGGTGAAAAGTGCGAAAGTTACGTTTACCTGTGCCTTTTTTTGAGGGGGGAAAATCCAATAACTTCTCCCAGCCCGGGTGAGGCGAGGGGGAGTATCAGACTCTTACTGACTAAATATCACCCCGTTCCTACTCCTGCACTTCGAGCTGGAGCCCCGGCAACCCGTTAAGTCTTCCACGTTTACCTGTGCCTACAAGGCAAAAAATCACAATATACCTCTATATATTACAGCCTGAAGTAAAGTAAACAGTCTTATACTTCAACAAACATACAACAATAACAACTTTATGTCGAAAAAAGAAAATTGTTAGCAATCTAGCAATCAGTACCAACGAATTGGCATAAAAATAAAATATGCATTGTGCGTATGTATGAGTAATTTAAAGTTGTATTTTCGTCCCCTATTTGTTCCAATTTAGGGTCGAAGGCATTTTGGGGTACAAATAACAGGTAAATGTTATCAATACTTGTTCCACAATATTATTTCATTTTGTATGAAAACCCTTGTTTGAGCGTTTTTCTTTTGATGGGAAAACGCAGATGTTGCCCTAAGAACTTTTTATTATTTATTAGTTGACCGTATTCATATGTGTGTGCGTTTCGGTTTGAATGATATAAAGTAATGTTTGGGTCATAATTTTTGTGTTTTTGTTTATACCTGGTTATGCCTTGTTGGTTTTCCTGTGGCAAATTGTAATATAAATTATGGAGGTATAAGTGCCACGTAACAATTTATTTCAGCAATAATATTGCATACAAATAACGTTGCATAAAAATTTATTTCAGCAATCGTACCTCAAGTAAAAAAGTTTCGATATTCATATTAATACTAACTAACGCATCTTTTACTATATTTTACAACACTCTAATTTTCAGTTGTACAGTCTTTTTTTTGTGCCATTAGGCTTAATTCATTCTATCTCCTGCAGTAATTCACCGAGGGAAGTAAAAACTATCGTTTTTTTCTTCTCCTCTTATAATATCTTCTGATTCACTTCGTTGCGGGAACCAAGACAGTTATACATGTCCCTGGGACGCGCAGGACTTCAGTGTTCCTGTGTTTTCATGGTTGTATCTACTGTAGATCCTGGCTTACGGGAGTTACAGCAGTTTCTGGAGGTTGTGACGGGCATGTCTCATTAAAAAAATCATTTTCTAATCTTCGAATCTTTACCACTTACAACTGCATAACATGGAGTTATCATTCTCTCTGATCAGAAGAGAGTTACCCCATTATTCCCAAAATATGTTTAACATAAATTGCAACTTTATAAATGGTTGCTCCCCCATATTATTACATGCGAGTTACCTTCGTTTGTGTAGCAATAAATGCCTAAATTAAGTTGCCAAAACATTGATCAAATTTTTATAGCCATTTTGCATGTTTGTCTTTAAAAGTGTGTGACTAGAGAGCTATAAATTAATGTTATAGCTTAAATTAGCCTTCAAATTATATACTTTGAGTTAGTTGAAGCCTAGAAAGACTTTGGTAGCTAATTAAATATTTCTACTTGAAAAGATAAACCCATAATTTTCCTGAACTATGCTTGGCAGATAGATAGATATTAAGTGTGGGAGAGCCATGCTTCGGCACGAATGGGCCGGCTCGACCGGAGTGATACCACGGCCTCACAGAAAACCGACGTGAAGCAACGCCTGCGTTGTGTTTCGTCGTGTGAGTGAGTTTACCGGAGGGCCAATTACCCTCCCCTTCCCCAATTTCCCCAAACCCTGGGATGGGGATTTATCCCCATCGATCCTCAAACTCCTAATCCCCAAAAAGCCGATAACGCACTAGTAACGCCTCTGGTGTTCCAGGTGTCCATGGGCGACGCCGATTGCTTACCATCAGGTGATCCGTCTGCTCGTTTACCGGCTTATTTCATAAAAAAAAGATAAGAAATCGAAATAAGTTTAAAAATAGAGAACACAAAAAGAAAAAGTATTTTAAAAAGAAAAAAGCAATTCAGCTCTTACTTTCAAACACAAACAAAAACAAAAAAACAAAACACACAAAGGAAATCAATTCAGGCAAGTTTCCCCCAATAGCACCCAAAAACGGACCGACAGATATTTCCTTAGCATGCTGGAAACAGGCACTTCCCTTAAGTCGACCACTAACGTATGCAATGCATGCACGAATTATATTATTTGAAGCAGTAAATTTTGTGGCGAGACTGGAGAAGGGGTTTCAGGTTCGATTACTGGGTTGGGTTAAGTATTATTGATTATTTTTGGTTTCTCACAGATTTAACATACTTACGTTAAATAATTACCTAACATTAATTATCCTCTTCACTTGACGAAGCCTACGAAGAGATAGCACTTCGACAGAAAATTTCAAAAATTCAGTGTTTTATTTTTGGAAAATAATCTTTGAAGTTTGATGTACAACAACTTATAGGGCTCATCATTATTATATGGAAATCAAAACACAATTGGGCAAAAATCGTGTTTCGCTTAATTTGTTTTAAACAGCATACCTATTGTAACATAAGTTCCTACATAATATTTACAATAAATATATTCACAAGATTTTACAGTTTACGAATACATATTACCTAAGTGCAGTTCTTATATTTGGGTTCCGTCATTAAATCACAGAGTAATGACCGTTCTTTTAGGGTTCTGTATTCGTATTTTAGGGGCAGAACGACGCGGTTTGTAGATTGGCACGGTTGCAAATGTGTGGTGGGAGAAATGAAATTTCGGGTATATGAGTATGGGTTTTGAGTGGCAATCTGTGTTGGGACGTGTTTGGTGGGTTAATTGTGTATTTTTTTTTAACCTGAGCTGAGAATAAGATGGATATGTGGGGGAGTGTTTGTGGGATTTCAGAAATATTGTATTGTAATGTTATTTAAAATAAGGCGTCGAAGTACTATAATTAAAATTCTGTAAAGTTGCATGTCATTTAGTTTTACACAAAACAAACAAAGAAACTTGTATTGTTTAATTTAATGTTACCGACGAATTTTAACATAATAATGTTCTATAATTATTTTATAAAAATATTTTAGGCACAACACAATTACAACTTAATAAAATTCAATGAATTCTTAGTTTATTTACAAAGTTAAGTTGAAATGTTTATTATACAATTCACACCGAAGGAAACGTTGTGAATTTTATTTTTCAAAATGTAGGATTTATACGAATCCTTCCGTCTTCGTTGCGAAGCTTTCCGAGCGATTGTAATCCATCTTTGTCACGTGTATGAAAGAGATTTAGCGTTGAAATCTGTATGGATATGCTAATACGTAGTTTAAAAGTCTGTTCATATCTTTATGAACATTTCTTTGAGAGTTGTTTTACGTATCCTTTAATTTGAATTTTTAAACTTTAACAACTAGGAAAACGTTTGTAAATTGACGAATCTCAATGAGATATTGATGTTTATATCGATTTAAAAATTAAGGAATCAAACCTAAAAATTTAAAAAAAGAACACCTAATAATTTTTCAAAATGGCAACCAAATCCGCGGTCGACATCTTAACTAATTTAATCCTCGTCCGTTTTATGCCTTAAGGGATCAAAGAGAACTTTACGATTACACTCAGCCTTATTATTCCCAACTCGTCGCGAAAATATTTGATTTATTTATTAGAATAACATGTTCCGAATCTTTAGTTTGAATTGCGAAACAAGATGGCCGCCGAACAGTGACAGTTGGTAGTCGAAGTCTCGTTTTTATGTGTGATCTAAATATGCATGTGTCTGATCAAGTTCTACGATGGAATAAATAAAGGCACTAAGGTTTTTTACATTCAGTGAGTGTAAAATTTATGGAAATCGAATGCTGATTGTGCATTCGTTAACTAGGTTACGACTTTGAATAAATTTGAGTCTTATTTCGGTTAGTTAGGTTATATTTTTAGTTGACTGTTTCAGCTTTCTTATTATTTTTTAATTTTTGTGAGTAAACTTATAAATTGTTCTAGGATTAATATTAAATGAACACTGTTTTTTTTTAATTTTCAAACTAAATAAAGAAGAATAACTTGAACCAAACGAATTCAGAACAGTGGAGATTGTAGTCTGCTTATCATGTCACAATAACTTTAATTTTTTAACTCACAAAAAATATAATGCTCTAATTAAAAATTACGAACATGGTAATTATTTCTTTATGAGTTGTAGTTGTAATGTTAAAACGAATGAACTAACGTATTTCTTTGGTTTGTTTCAGGAAATCGCAGCAATACTCATCAGCTTTGACAAACACAGCGACTGGCAGTCAAAAGAGGTCAAAATACGGTAAGTTCAATATTCTTTTTATTTTTGGAACACATAAAAATGTATTATTATTTATAAGGCGACCGAATGATAAACGACGGTAGTAATAAACAAATCTAACATTTTAGGAAGAATATAATATTCTAGGTACAGTATAAGTTATTTAAATTCGTTAATTATTATAACTTAATAATTAAATTAACAAAAAGTCGCTGGATACTCTCGTGATAATACTGAGGAAAGCTCTACTTGTTTCGAGCCACAGAGGAGCTCTTCCTCATGAGCAGCGTGCGCGGTAGCGGCGATGTCGCGCAGCGTTCTCAAAATTATTAATACCTATAGTATGTCTCATGGAAGTTTTAATATTGCAATATTGTTTATATAATCGATTATCAATTTTATAAAGATACAGTTCATCAAAAATACAGTTTGATTATATGCCTCATCTTTTTTATAAGTCCACGTCTACTGGCGAAGTTCTGACTGGGCTTTCCATTCCAAAAATGGGTAAAAATCCAGACATAAATACAAAAATCCAAATATAGACTCGAATTTCAAAATTGTTGTTATTATTCCTACTCATAAGCGGTGTAATCAACGAATAAATTTGTCATGACAAGCCACAAGCTGGTTCGTAGTGGACTCGATTCAATTTCCCCACCTGAACTACAATTATGATTTCCTTGAAAACCTTTTCGTGTTTCCCTTCCGTACATCGCCACGTGAAATTTCATTTATAACCATTACCACTTTTGAATTTTTTAACTTGTTCCCTTTTATTTCTATGAATTTGTCCTTATTTATAGGGTAGTGGACTTTTTGATAAGAAGGGAAGGATCACAGTTATTATTATTTGATACTAGCGACCCGCCCTGGCTTCGCACGGGTGCAATATGCATGTATTATACATACAAACCTTCCTGAAGAATCACTCTATCTATTAAAAAAAACCGCATCAAAATCCGTTGCGTAGTTTTAAAGATTTAAGCATACATACGGACATACAGCGAAAGCGACTTTGTTTTATACTATGTATTGATGAGAGACTGAAGTGTGTGAATAATCAAACGATATAGTTCTGTTTTTAACCGACAACAAAAAGACAAAAATGGAGGTTCTCAGATTGACCTATATTTGACCTATACCATCAAAATCGGTTCAGCCAATCATACATAAGTATGATTTTCAGAATTGTTTGTTACACTTTTTTTTAAGGGGGGGAATATTATTGAATTACTGCTCCCGCCGGGGTGGGGCGGGAGGGAGTGTCTTACTGACTAAAAACCACCCCGTTCCTTCTCCTGCACGTCGAGCCGGAGCCCCGGTAACCCGTTAGGTACACTTAGGAGAAGGTTTTAATATATTAATTAACTGACTTCAAAAAATGGGAGGTTGAAGTCCCAAACAATTATTAGTTCTATGTAGTGTATGACCCGTTAGATTTATCTCTAATTGTTCCTGATACTGTACTTCGAGATAAACGAAGTAGGACATACCTACTTAGTATTAGTTTTCGAAGAACTTGCCAATAGTGAAAGAGTTTTGTAATCGGTGTAGTAGTTGCGTATCTTATGTAGCATTTTTAAGACATAATTGGATCTCTGGTTACTTCACCCACGCGACGAAACACAACACAAGAGTGGTTTTTCGTCGGTTTTCTGTGAGGCCGTGATATCACTCCGTTCAAGCCGGCCTATTCGTGCCGAAGCATGGCTCTCCCACACTTAATATCTATCTGGCTTGAACAAAGTGATATCACATCACTTTGTTCAAGCCGGCCCATTTGTACTGAAGCATGGCTCCACACTTAAAAATAAAAGTAATGCATTCAAACAAGCGAATAAACATTTCATCTTTATTATTGATAAATATAATTCCATCTACCTTCCACACATAATTTAAACCACAAAACATAAATAAGGAAGAACAAACAGAACCTCTTTAAAATATTAGTATGGCCTATGGGACGGTTTTTATTATGGAATGGGCCCATAAAAGCCACCTGATGGTGAATGGTCATCGTAATTCATCGATAATGCGCGGATTCAGCGCTTTAAAGAGTTCCCTGATGCATTGCTGGTGAAACGGAATCCGTTCCCGTTGAGTGCCTTTGAATTAAATAATGGATGTGCTGGTTGTATGATTAACAACCTGGTTGACCAGAATTTGCGAATGGTTTTGTTTGTGAGGTTCTTGTGAAACAGGGGTCTTGTTATGTTGGTTTTGAGATTGTTGTTTTAAGTTTATTTCGTTAGTGTTTTCTTAGGATAGTTATTAGGGTCTTAAATAGAGTGACTTCGATTGTCAGATTAGAAATATTTCGAAGACTTGGCTATTGTGTTTGTATTTAGCCTTTACGATTCTAACTGGACTTTGTGTATCAGGTGAATATGATTTGAACATATTCTTTTTATAGAAGCGACGTAATGTTTCATGTCTAATAAAATTTTAGACATTATTAAGACCATGCACTATTCAAACAAGATTCTTCAATGTGATTCTTCAAAAGTTAAATTACAATCCTAAAGCGAAATCGAACACCGAACAAAAAATGTTAGTAAACGAAACGAATTAAACTATCAGTAGAGTAACGTGACCGTTACTTTTATACTTTACTCTGTGACTGTACCTAATTTGGCGCCCAACGAGGGACCCGTTCCAACTTGTAACAACTTTAAGCAAATTAAAACTTGGGCCGTGACTACTGCTCGCTTGGTGTGCGCCGTTGAAATATTAACTCTTTATGGGTGCGCAGTGTACAACGGGAGTTGCGGTGCGGTCGCGGATCCGTGTCGTTACATAAAAATTTAATAATGGACTTGATACTGCGAAGTTTTTGTACGTGATCGAGTTTAGTTCGGTTATTTAAGGCTGCACTGAGATTTCCCGAGTTTTTTATTCACAAGTTAGATAAAGTTTGTCACCGCGACGGTACTAACTTCGAACAATTGCCATGATAGCTTAATCAGAATGAGGTTTATGAGAAGTCTGGGTAAAGGAACTTGGAAATGTTTGTTTAATACTAGCAAAGTGTGTTCTAAGCTTCTTAATTATTATTTGTATCTTTTGTGGACACAGATCGTAAGGACAATTTAATGCCATTAAAATTATTTAACACTGTAAACTCGAACTTCAGTATATGTATTAAAGTGTTATGTTCTATAATCAAACGAAAATTTTAATTCTCTCTTAATTTTTGAAGATTTATATTTCTATTATAAGTTCCTTTTCGTTAGTTCAGACGGTCAAATAAACACGAGCCTTCATAAAATATCTTCTAAGCAACTCCATTACCAAATAAAAAACCAAATCTCAATATTTTGCCAAACAAAAATACACCTTATATCAACTAGAAAAGGTACTCGTGATAAATAGGCACACATTTAATTACTTCACTAATTGTATCCACCGTATTATCTGGCTTAAACTTTGAACTTCGCGAGTACTAATGAGACCAAAGCCTGTTATTTTAACTTGGTTTCAGTAAGTTAGTGCTTGGCTCTCAGTACTCGTACGTGTGGGATATTAAGTGCTTCTCTGTGATTTATTGTTATTATTTTAATTTGTAAATATAAAATTAAACTATATATATCATCATCAATACGTTTTATTTCCTTTTATGTGATTCATAATTATGGTATAATAAGTATAAGTGGGTATGTATTTATGTATATGTACGTATGTGCATGTATGATAAGTGATATGTATAATTATTATTGGGTTCGAAGATACCTAATTATAATTATTTTTATTTTTTTTGTAGTACAGAACCAGCCTAAATATTTCTTTTGAATGCAAAAGTGGGTTTGGGTGAATATAATGATATTCACCCAAAGGTTGTCTGGTAGAAATCACTATAAGTGTTAAGACCACCTTTGTGATCAAAAATAAATATTATTATATACTAGATAATTAATAATATTCTTATTTTTTATTTATGCTTTATATTATTAATGGTGTACAATAAACATTATCCTATTGTATTCTGTTCTAAACTTTAAATAATTCAATTCTTCATAATAAACACTAAACAGTTATTCTATTTTTCTAATTTCGAAAAGAAAATCTTAACAATAAATCTTAGTTTAATAAGTTAAGCGAAAAAGTCAAACTATTGCTTGTCTAAATTGCTGATCCATTGTTCATGATTTTTACAATACAAATAGATTAAATTAGGAGATTGTAATCGTGTAAATTTTTAATGAATTAAAATCTTAAAAGGCGAGAATACAGCTATATATAATACCTCTTATGACCCCATAAGAGGTATTATATGATTCATGAAATTTATATAATGTTAACTAATCTCTCAGTTAAGAATTTATCATAATCATTTCTACCTACAAAACGTGATTTAAAAATATTTAAATAGGAATTTTGATCTAACCATTCTATTCCATTCTAGGGCATAAATCTTTCGCTGTCAGAGCACAAGAAGTTCTCTAAGGTAGATCCATTCTGGTGTCGATAACATAAGCTTTGGTTGTAAATCATGAACAACTTTGGATACCTTATCTTATATATTTTGCTATCCATTTCTGGGTCATGATATCTCTGTTCGTATTAATTTGTAAACAATGTAGTTGTGATAGGAATTCGATATGGGTATTTATGGGTACTTGAGTGGATAAGGCGATAATTACACTGTCCTAGCAATTTTACTTCCTACGAATATTAAAAATGTCAAAGTTTGTGAGGATGTATTGGGTGTCTTTGTTACTCAATCATGTCAAAACGACTTAAGGGATTGGATTGTAATTTGGAATAGGGATAGATTATGGCCTAGAATAATACATAGGCTAAATTTTATTCCACTGGAACGTAGGCGAAGAAGCGGGCCGAAGGTAGTTAATACATGAACCCCAGATAGTTCACACTCACTCTCAAACATTCCTACTAATATTAGCCCCTACTTTTTTATTTAAACAAAACGTTGCCCCACACTAAGATTTTCTCCTGTGTCGTGGGTGCGTTTACAAACATACAAATTCACATGTACATGACACCCAGACCCGGAATAA